CCCGGAAGAGCAATACTGAGATTAGGTGTCCAGGTTGAGGCAGTCACGGTCGTCCATCGGAGCAAGTGGGGGACCCCGACGGATTACGTTGGTTGGGGCATGTACTACGCATGCCAGGAAATAAGTTACCACGGCGTGTGATGTTTTCCAAAACAGGTATCAGTTAGAAGAGGCTAAGGGTGGTCAAATGAAAACCTGGCTTCAGAGTATGAAAACCCTAACCAGGGTTTTAGGTCAATTAGGCCTCGTTAGGCCCCCTGGCTGGGGACCCCGAGATCACGGTCACGGGAGGTTAGAGACACTGTGTGATAGGGTTAGGTCCACAGTGGCGCTCATGCATCCACCTATTATTATCCTAACACTACTCTATGACTTCTCCATGTTCCGCTTGAATTTGCCCTCAACATTCCAATCTTCATTCTGCTCTCTTATTCAAACGGGACACAAAAGGACAGCAACCAAAACTGGCGCACGAAAGAACATGGCTAATGGTTGTGAAAACTGAACTGACCGAACTCCGCTAGGGCTTCCTAGCTGGGTCCCCGAAAATTCCAATTTTCTATGTCTGGAGATACTACGGGACATGGTATCGAACCAAACGAAGTCAATGGCGTGAATGCACTCTTTACTGTGTGCGATCCCAATTACAAGCAAAAACGAAAAAAACTCATAATGGCGTGCAGTACAGGAACAAAATATTGTGATTCCCCAAGTTGACTACTTCTTCTGTTTTACGCGCTTCCGTTCCTGTAGTTTTCGCTAACCCGTGGTTTTTCGGTACCGTATCTTCAAAAGCTTGGTGTTGTATATAATTATATATATGTATTTGTCGCAATGACCTAATTCGCAACATCTGGTGAATTTGCTTGAACAGCTCTTTCAGAACCAGTCCGTTGCGGTTAGTAGCTTCTGATTCATCTACAAAAAAATCATATCGTAGTGTGATTCACCAATGGACTGGTTCTGAAGTATACTTCCTGGGTACAAGTATATGAAAAAGACAAAAGATTATCGGATACGCATACCTGGTGAGCGGCAAGACCCGCGAAACCGGTCGTGAAATTTCGTCCAGCCATTCATATAATACTTATTGCCATAAATCTACATGTAAAGATGATTCCCACCCTCTGGTCCAACAACAGCCCCACAATTGAGAAATGAGAAGATTTCGAGGAGTGTGAAGCGTGTCAATTTGAGAACACACATACATGAAATATTTACACAGTTATGCGATCCAAGCGGTGCCGATTTGGATTTCGGGCCCGGGAGTGAATCAAGCCACATTGAATTGTATGGGTTCTTTCATCACGTCAAGGTTGTATCGGTGGGTTCGGTCCAGTGTATCTTGTTCTCCATCCAGCTAAGAAATTTTGGTGGAATGGATTAAGTTAAACAGTCACTGGCGGAGTAAGTGAATATGAGCAGCCTAATTTTGGACAGAGTGATTTTCAAATATTTGACTTTAAGTAGAAATTGAATTATTCAAAGTAATGCCTCCCAAAATTCCCACAGGCGTTGTACACACATAACTAAAGAGTTAAACAAGTATTGTAAAAATATCCACATCAGTGAGCATCAACATCAAACAGTCAATGTTCCACCTGTTAATGACAACCTTGCCTTGCATTCAATTCCGCATTTTCGTTCGTCTGTACAATGTATTCACCTTACCTTACAGTTCTACTCTCCACTCACTCAATGTGGAAAGTAGATTGATAGAAGAAGGCCTATGCTCCTGTGGGTGGTGAGGATGAGCTCTGCATGATGTTCCGAACCTTGGAAAACATATATTGCCGTTCTTCAGTCAACTGTATGTAATCCCCTTGAAATAGAACTAACAGAGGTCCATTAGATATCAACCCGTGGTCAGTCACATTTCAAGCCTTGAATTTATCGTCATAATTCTGTCTGTTGGAACAGTCGGAATAGTATAGGAAGAAGCTAACGAGGATAATCCGTCAAAATCGTCAGTCCAACGTGCAATACATTGCTGTTGATTGTGAGTAGAAAAATGTCTGCTTTGTTTCATCCTTTGGCTCAAAGTCAGTGCTGTCCTAACAGCGATGTGGATGACATAGAACAGCTTGCGGATGGAGGTATGTTTCACTCCGAAACCTATTGCGATCACATGTCCTGAGGATCTGTGTAATCCGTGGCTTACACTGTGTTCATGACCCCATGAGAAACGAGCTTTGTCATGCCCTGATACTAGAAAATGCTGTTGACCAGCTTAACATAGTCACGGCAACTTACTATTTGTATAACAGATTTAATGTCGGATGAGTTGCCAATCGTCGCATGTCATTACGGAATGACAAATATTTACGCATAAAATAGACCACCACAGTCACCGCCAGTTGACCCGTTTCATACGTGTGTGAGCATTGTATGTCATAGCCAAACTCTTTGAAAGTCTGACTGGCCATCAGGACGGTCTGGCGTCGTTTCTCCACCAAATAAGTGTGCACTATCACACCGTATGTCGCTGTGTCATCATTACGATCATTCGCCGCCAGATTCGGTTCATCCACTCGACACTGGCTTTGTTCGCATAAATGATTCACCCGTAACATATCACGGCATCGATCCCTTATCATGCTGGATAGCATTTTCACAGTGTGAACCTGAGAAAAAAATGCACAGGATCAAAAGTAGTAACAACCAAAGAATTAACACACGTAACAGGAAGAGAGATTGTCAACGTCATCATCATCATCATCATCATCATTATCGTCATCATTTCCATCGTCGTCATCACCGTCATCATGGGATGGCTACTGGACGTGCCCATTAATTCTGTGTGCAACTCTGTATTGTCCGTTTCGGAGAGCACCGAAATGTCACCCCACGTTGCCACACATTCTGATGATGTGTTCGAAGAGGCCCTTGACCTCTGCAATTGTGCCCAAGAATCGTTGCAACTTCTACCAAAATTTCCAGCTCGACAACCACCTTCGCCATGGCCTAAATTAGAGACACCATGGTCTCGGTTGCGCATCGATTTCGCTGGGTCAATCAACGGGATTTACTACCTCATTGTCGTCGATGCATACTC